ACCTCGAGACTCTCTCATGACTGCCTAGATGGAGCAGAATTGCAGAAAGATTTTGATTTTTTTCATCATTGTCCTCAGATGATATCCTTAATGTCCTTCTCTACACATGTCTGTTCATCAACTCTCTAGCTTTTATCGTGCCTAGCTTATGTGGTAACTCATCCTATATCTTTCCACAGAACTCTGTGTTTATGTTTCATTACTCAATAATAAGGTAGATTTAAGAAGGTCTGAATTAGCTTTTAATTCTTATTCACACATAAACAATGATTTTCAGTAATATAATGGGCCAGTTTGTGTTCTGAGACCTGGGGAAGGAAAGGAAATTCTTACACAGCAAATGACAGATTCAGATTAATGGTTAAAGATCTATCCTCCAAAAACTGGGGGAGGGTGGGGGCCTGAGGAATAAGAGATTGATAGGAATGTTTTCTGACTCTCTCATCCTTGTGATCCTGTGATCCTTCCATCATAGCTCCATGAATCTTCTGGGATACTGTTCAATGACTTAAACAACTCCCACCTGACAACTAAATCCTTAAGGGATAATCTTAATAGCATCCATATTGCCCTGGGAAGATAACTAGCTTTCCTCCTGGGCGTGGCCATGCTAGGAAGTGGTGAGGGACCCTGAGTATTTTGAGCCCAACTCTTGCATGGTGGGTTACACTGACATCAACTCCACTAACCACTGACCTCCTCGGCACTTTCTGGTTTATACCCTTCTCCATCCCTCTGCCCAACCAAAACTGAGGGGCTGTCAAATATCCTACAGTCCACATTGGAGGGTCTTTCCTTCACAAGGCTGAGAACCCAGTTCATCATGCATTTTGATTCCACACGGGGGCTTTGATTTCTGTCTCCTCGGTAGCAGAGTTGACTACTCTGCCTGAAAGGACGTGGGTCATGATGAGAAAGCAATCTGAAGATGAAGAGAGCACTGTACTTGTGGACTGAAGGAGTTAACATTCCAGGACAGGGGGATGCGTGCCGTGCATTCTGTCCTGTATGGATTGCAGATGTTTATTTATTCAGGATATGGTCTCAGGCCACTTTTAAAATTATTATTGTATTGATAAGATGATGTACCCTGAAAATATTCATTGTAGAAATCAATGAGCAACTCTGGATGTTGTGAGTTAATTTGGAAGATCAAAAGCTTCTGAATGAATATTCCCCAAAGTGTGCACATTCTGTAAGCAACTAAAAATGAAAAGGATAAGGACCATCTTTTCACTAATGGACATGTGGGTGTGTTGCTGCTTTTGGATCTCTTCATAATGCTAGAAAAGACTGAGGCAAAAGCTGCTCAGATACCTCTAGCCTTAAAAGTTCCCCAACCACCACAATCTCCACACCCTAGTTCCTGAATTTTAGGATTTTTCTTTTCTTTTACAATTTCCCTCTACACCAAATTCTATGTAGACATTAAACATTGTCAAGATGTTTTCGTAAAGAATATTGAGGGTGAGGGTGTTTTTTTCTTCTTATACCTTCATTATTTTCCCCAAAAAATATTGTAGTAAATTGAAATGGCTCATAAGATCTCTCAGCCACCCCACAAGATATTATTTCTCTGCCTCAATGTCTCCTACCAGCTGCAGCTTGAATCTCTGTCTGATCAGCTTTGGAACTGAGCCATAGAATTGTGACTTCAGAAAAGGAGATTGCCAAGGCCAAAGCACACAACCTAAAGTTTGGCCAGTGAGAGACCTTTTTGCCCTGGCTCCATTATTAATCCACTCCCTCTCCCCTTTCTCTTCTCCCTCCCTCCCCACCCTCTCTACCACACCCTCACTCCATCCAGTATTTCCAAGGATTTCTCTCTAGCTCTCTAACATTTCTCTGATGTGCTTTCCTCATAACCTTGTGTTTTAACTTATTCATCACACCAAATATCATATCTATTTTATTCCCTCCAAGTTCTGTGTCTTACTTCTAGCACTAATGTAATTTTTAGAATCCAGACCTCCATTTATGTAAGAATCCATACGTAGAATTACTGATGTTAACATCTCTCAAAAAAAGTGCTAATGGGGCTATTTATTGAAACCAAGGATTTACATTTATATATAATGTGTGTGTGTATGTATATGTGAATGTATGTGTGTGTATATGTATGTGTATATATATATATATATATATATATATATATATATATATTTTTTTTTTAATTTCCAAATTATGCTTTGGCTTCTTTTTTGGGGAGTTCATGCAACTACTACTTCCTTATGTCTTGTAGCCAGAGCCCAGATAAAGCCATGCACATCATTTACTTCCTTGAAAACACTTTGATATATAGAACAGAAGAATTGTACCTGAGAAACTTGAAGTATCTGCCCAACATTGATATTTTAAAATTGTTTTTTCTTTATATCTTCCTTCAAAACATAGGCTGTATAAGCCCATCAAAGGATCTTTAGATTTTTCTTTAAGCACTGTTTTTCTAAGGGTGACAGCCCCAGTGTAGAACTCTGCCTGACTTTAACAGGCAGACTTTTCAGTACTAGGCACACAGGTCTAGGACAAGTTGAGAATCATTGGAACTGTCAAGTGCAATTATCCCTGAGCTAAATAAGACAAATGGCCCATTAGAAGTTATGTATGATGCATTGAGAGTCTGAGAACTTGACCAAAATGACTTCACAAGATGTTGGGGAAAAACATGGACATTTACTTGGATAGAGTGATAATGCATCTATTTCCTCCAAGCCAGAGGGGACTGAATATTTGTATTATTCACTGTCTTTTTGACTAACCAAAAATAGTTAAAACAACCTGAGGTAAATTTAGCAGAGACCAAATGAAGAAAACTTTGAAATTTGCTAACCAGCCACTATAATTATTGAGTACATGCAGTGATACGTTCCTCTTGATGAGGAGAGCACAGTATTGTGAAATCACAACTTCTCCCCAGGAAGAGCTACAAGTCTAGCTACAAGATGCTCTCCAAAATTTTTTTAAAATGTTGGGGGGATGTTTGATGTTTGGGGAATTTGTGGAGACTATTGAAGGGTGGATGCTAACTTGATGTAATTATTCTTAGGTTGATCTGGAGAAATTAAAAGATGTTAGTTAAAGGGGAAAAGTTTGTAAAAAGAGATAAAAGAAGGGAGGACTTTATTTTATATAGTATTTATATTTGTATTTTAAGCAACAGCAATCAAAACAGTGAGTCACTGTTACATTGAGTGTTGCAGGGGTAGGAGTGGGACATCATCGTGTCTGGAGATAGATCCAGATACATATGGAAATTCAGTAGAGGAGGTAGATAATCAAATGAGTAGTGAAAAGGTGTTTTATTTGGTAACTATTAGGAAAAAAATAATGCAAGCCTCCTACATCATTCCTTCAATCCAAGTAAGCTTTAAGTAAACCATATAGGGATAAGTAATGAAAAAACTGATACTATAAATTTCTAAAAGAAACATGGGTGCACATTATGCTTAGAAAACAAGGACCTTTCTAGAAGTAGCATGAAGTGCAGGAGCTATTAAGTACAATATTGATATATTTGACCATAAAACAAAGTTAAATTCTCATTGAAGTCAAAAGACTAACAAAAAACTAGTATATTCATAATACGTACTTCAAGGTCTGATTTTCTTATTGAACATCATTGATATATAAACACACAGACATATACACACACATATACCATTTTAATTTCTGCAAATAAATTTCTAATATTTATGTGCTATTGGAAGATACTGACCAAATTTTTCATCATGGCCTTAGGATAATCTTTTATTTAATGTAGTTTTGTAATCATGTTTTTGTAATAGTACATGCATGCATTATTTGAATAAACAAAAACTAAAATATGTTAACACTATGATTGATCCATAAATCAGTGGTTCTTACTCTTTTGGGAAACAGACTCCTTTAAGAATCAGACATTCTGTACAAACAACAATGGTGAGGATGTGGGGGAAAAGGCACACTCCTACATTGCTGGTGAACTGCAAATTGGTGCAGCCAATATGGAAAACAGTATGGAGATTCCTTGGAAAACTGAGATTGGAACCACCATTTGACCCAGATATCCTACTCCTCAGTCTGTACCCAAAGGACTTAAAAACAGCATACTACAGGGACACAGCCACATCTATGTTTATAGCAGCACAATTCACAATAGCTAAACTGTGGAACCAACCTAGATGCCCTTCAGTTGATGAATGGATAAAGAAAATGTGGTATGTATACACAATGGAATATTATTCAGCATTAAAAGACAATAAAATCATGGCATTTGCAGGTAAATGGATGGAGTTGGAGAAGATAATGCTAAGTGAAGTTAGCCAATCCCCCCACCCCAAATAAAAACAAATGCCGAATGTTTTCTCTGATATAAGGATGCTGATTTGTAATGGGGCTTCAGGGGGAGCATGGGAGGATTAGACAAACTCTAGATAGACCAAAGGGGTGGCAGTGGAAGGGAGGGGGCCTGGGGGTAGAAAAGGTGGTGGAATGAGATGGACATCATTACCCTAAGTACATGTATGAAGACACGAATGGTGTGACTGTACTTGGTGTACAACCAGAGATATGAAAAATTGTGCTCTATATGTGTAATAAGAATTGTAATGCATTCCACTGTCATATATAACAAATTAGAATCAGACATTCTGGGCCCTGTCCCCTGAAGAGTGTGCATAAATACAGACACCAAAATGCAGTATGAGTTGTGAATCCTAAATTACTCTGCCCTAAATAATTCCGAAGTAAGCTAGTAACAGTTATCTATTGCTGCATAGCAGACCACCCCCAAACTTAATGGCTTAAGACTAGAACCACTTTGCTGCTTATGATCCTGTGTGTCAGACATTCAGGCAGTATGCAAGTATAGTTATCTCCACTTCAAGTTTTTGCAGGTTATTGGTGTCAGAGGATCCCAGAGGGCCCCACTTACCTGTCTGGGGCCTTGGTCCTGCCTCTGAGTGGGGTGCCTCAGTGCTCTGCCATCAACCCTTTCTAACCAAATGTCCTGGGTTGCTTACCTGGAATCTCAGGAGAAAAACAGAAGCCAAATGATTGCTGGAGACCAGGGTTCAATTGTCATAGCATGACACTTTCACCACTTTCTGTTCAGCACAAGTCACAGGGCTGGCCCAGAATCAAGGGGAAATGAGCTCATAGTAGGAGGCAAAGCACAGTCACGCTAAAAATGGACATGTGGGATGGAAGGAATCACTGTGGCCACATTTGGTTTTTTTTTTTTTTTTTTTTTTTGGTGGGGGGGTAACAGAGATTAAACTTAGGAGTGCTTAACCACTGGGCCCCAGCCCCATCCCTTTTTTGTATTTTATTTAGAGACAGGGTCTCCCTGAGAGTGCCTCACTAAGTTACTGAAGCTGGCTTTGAACTCAGCATCCTCCTGCCTCAGTCTTCCCTGTTGCTGGGATTACAAACATGCGCCACTGCGCCCAGCCACTGTGGCCTCTTTTAAAATCAGTCCACCAGGCATGGTGCCCTGCACCTCTAATCTCAGCTACTCAGGAGGATGAGGCAAGAGGATTGATTGAACCTAGGAGTTTGAGTCCAGCCTGGGAAACATAATAAGACCCTATCTCAAAAATAAAGGCAAATTATGTTATGAACATTTATAAATATTGTATGGATCCCACTGTTATGTATAATTATAATGCACCAATAAAAAAGAAAGCTGAGGGCACTGACACACACCTGTAATGTGGTACACACCAGTGGATTGGGAGGCTGAGGAGGGAAGGTTGCAAGTTCAAAGCCAGCCTCAGCAAAAGAAAGGTGCTAAGCAAGGTGAGACCCTGCCTCTATATAAAATACAAAAAAGGGCTGAGGATGTGGCTCAGTGGTTGAGTGTCCCTGAGTTCAATCCCGGGAACCCCAAAAAAATAAATAAATAAAAATAAATACATATAATCTACCACAATATAATTCTCTGAAATGTATCACATTTAGCCAATAGATGAATTTGTTGATCTGTACCCCGACATTCATACTAAATAAAACATAGTCATCTGACTGTAAACTATAATAATAGTCTACTCAATTTAAATACATGATGATTTTGTTGGTTTTGTTTTTTGTCAGCTTATCCCAAAATTCTCCCAGTGAAACTATGCATGAAATGGGAATGTGGAAGCCATCATTTTGGCTCATACTTCAAACACTTTGATACAAAATGTTTTGTCCATAATGCAGAAAGTTCTACTTTGGAATCATTTTGGAAAAAATCATGTTTTCCTGAGTAACAAAGGGTCATATATTTAAATGCTGGACCTCTATACCCATCATAAAAGAAAAAGCTGGAGAAAAATCACAAATCATCACCCTAAAATGCATGGATATAATGCTAAGATTAAATGGATGATCCCAAATCCTAAAAGAACTTCAGTTAAAAGTGACAAATCTAACAAGATTGTCTCCTTTCTAAATGTACCCACATTCTTTGTACTGTGGTCTTAAATGACAGTGACCAATGAAGGACACCAGGCATGTGAGCAAAACCTCTGAGGGCCTGGAAGGTAACTGCAATCAAAGGATGTGAACTTAAAGGAAATGGAGAATAGGGAAAGGGGAGAAAATTACTAATTTGGAGTCTCAGATAAATTAAAAGTTAGCATATGTGGTAAAGAGTAGAAAAGAAGATACAAGAAAGAGCTCTTGAAGCTATAGAATTCCCAGCCAGGTGTGGTAGTACATGCCTGTAATCCCAGCAGCTCAAAAGACTGGGGCAGGAAGATCACAAATTCAGAGCCAGCCTCACCAACTCACTGAGGCCCTAACTCAAGTTAGAGAAGGATCTCTAAATAAAATACAAAAAAAGGGCTGGGGATGGGCTCAGGTTGTGGCTCAATGGTAGAGTGCTTGCCTATCATGCTTAAGGCACTGGGTTCAGAAACTCAACACCACATAAAAATAAATTAATAAATAAAATGTATTGTTTTAAAAAGGCAGGACTGGGGGGGGGAGGCACATGGCATAATGGTTAAGCACCCCTGGGTTCAATCCCCAATACCAGAAAAGAAAGAAATACAGAATTAAAGAAACATAAAATTTCCAAAGTAATGCAAAATGAGCATTTTCTTGTGGACTCAGTGTTAGCTATGTCTAAGATCAACACATTTCATATCACAAAGTAATATCCAGAGATGTCTGGAGCTGCCCCTAACAGTAGAACAGAGAGAAAGGGACATAGTGAGAGCTCACAGCACTTCTCTAATAAAGGGACTAAAGCTTCTATGGGTTGCATGTGAAAACCATGGGAAAGAGCAGAAACAGTCATCCTGAAGGTGACCCCCGGAAGGGCAAGATGTCCCCAATTGTCTATTAGACTATTGTCTAATTGAGACTATTTTTAATACCTGGATATGGCCCAAGTTCCTTTCAAGGGCAGGAAGAAAATATTCAAAATAGTATGGTTGACAGGCTACGATATTAAAAAATAAATTAAACAACTTCCTGATCTCATGATTTACACCTTGCATGTTCAATTTTTTTTTTCCATCACACTAGCTATGCTGTGGCTTCATTCTTCTTTAGCATCTCCTGAGAAGATCTTTTGGTATTTTTGCTGTCAACTCCCTCCCAGAATCTCTCTGAAAATACTGAGACAGTCTGAAAGTCACAAAAAAATATCTTTTTGTAGAAATAGAAATATTTCGTAGGTAGGCTAAATAAAAGTACCAAGAAATTCTCAAAATGGAGAACAAAAAGACCAAGAGACTGTAAAAAGAGGAGTGGGTGGGGGAAGAGAGATTTAATTCAACCCAAAAGGGTTAACATGTAAGCATAAGGAATTTAAAAGAAAAAGAGGAGAGAGAAAATGAATGAGAGGAAATTACTTATCCAAGAACTGAAAGATGTAGTGTTTCATAGCATAAGGACTTAGGTATAGTATGGAAAAATCAATAAATAAGAAGGCCCACGTCGGGGATCATTACTAGGATATTTCAAAATAACAGATGTAAGAATTCTCAGAGCATCCAAAAAGAAAGGGGAAAGTCATGCTCAAAGTCATAGAAATCAGAAAGACATCAGAGTTTTAATAGCTACCTTAAAAGAGAAAATCATAAAAGTGATATTTCTATAATTCTGACAGAAAATGATTTTCAACCTAAATTCTATACCCTGCCTAAACTTTCAATCTGGCGGAGTGTGGAATAAAGACACCTGCAGATATGCATTTCTCTCTTCCTTGTCTTCTTTCCTGCTTTGATCCTGGAGGTTCAGCTTCAGCCAAAGGAGAGAGTTAACTTTGAAACAGAATCAGTGAAACCTAGTATCCAACACAGGAAACATAAAGCCATAATCAGATGATGGGAAAGCTAAAGTTCCACTTGGCATCAGAACCATGGGTCTAGAAAGAAACCAGTTCAGACTGGATTTTTTAAAAATGTGATCAATATATTTTCTGGTCTATTTGACTATTGGAAAATAATAATAAACAGGACATAGGAAATAAAATGAATGATGATAACATAGAAAGCTAGGCAAATTTAAAAAGAGAAGCAACCATGAACTCGTGGAAAAATAAACATTTGTATAAGAAATTAAACATAGTATACTAGTTGGCTCTGTGATAAATAATACATACACAGTTCTAACAAACATTGTTGATTTAACAATTTAATTAGGAATTACAAATATAAATAGTTACCTTTTATCTACAGGGAATGTGTTATAGAACCCCTAGTGGTTGCATGAAACCATAGATATTATCTAATCCTGTGTATTCTGGGGTTTTTTTCTAAGTATACATAAATTTTTAAGTTATAAGTTTATAAACTTATAAATTTATAAGTTACAAATAGTATGAGATTAACAACAGTAGCTCAAAATAGAACCATTATAACTATACATTGTAATAGAAGAGTTCTCATCATGCTACTCATACTGATGCACAATTTAAATCTTAATGAATTGTTTGTTTTGGGGGATTTTCATTTAATATTTTTGGACTACATTGGACTGCATGTGACTAAAACCACAGAAAATAAAACTAAAGATAATGGGGTACTACTATATTCCTAGTGTCATAATATATATATTATGTGGTGAGACTGAGAATAGTATAAAAGAGTTAGATCATTATGTCTCATAAAGATATCAAAAAGAGATCATGTACATGTGTGTGTTTTAAACATTGTATAGTATAAATTAGTATATTAAGAAATAGCAATATAAAATATTTGTCAGTCTGGAAATCAAAATATATTGGAAAGATGATGGAATGAGATGGACATTATTACCCAAGGTACATGTATGCTTGCACAAATGGTGTGACTGTACTTGGTATACAAACAGAAGTGAAAAACCTAACCCTAACCCTAACCCTAACCCTAGAAGAGCATTCTGTTGTCATGTATAACTGATTAGGAAAAAAACATTAAAAGAAAAAGAATTGCCCTTTTACCGAGGCACAATTTCAGTCCTTCCTCTTCAAAATAGGCAACCTATTTCCTGTAAGTTTGGATGTACAGCCATTCCAAAAACAAAAAGAGAGAAAGTTTTAAGTGGTTGCCCTGAGAAACTGAATGGGGAAGGAAGAGTAGTGGGAATTCAGGAATGTTGATGAGGAATTTTGTTTTAATTGTTACATTTCTTTTGACACTATTTTACTTTTAAGTGTGTATGTATATTACTTGGAAAAGAAACTAAAAAGGAAATTAAGAGGATAATCAGCATGGCTTGATCCTATTTAAACCACCTCTGTGGATTGCTCACCTTCTTTTTTGGAGGTAGTATGAGTTGTGAACTCAGATACAATTATGCTCCTTGTGAGGGTCACTTGGTCCATGAAAAGTGTGGAGCCTGGTGTCACATGGATGGAAAGGTGTCTCATTCTCCACACATGCTCTCTGGCTGGCTCGTGCCTCCATATCCTCAGTTGTTTGTGGGGGTGGGATAGATCAAGCATATTGTATAGGCTGGCTTCAGTGAGTGCTCTAGTGCCCGGCACATACTAAGTACTTAATAAGCAGCAATTATTCTGTTTTGGTTAATAACACACACATCATGAGATGATCGGTGCAATGCCAGGCCATTTTAGTGCTCAGGAAGCAGAGTTTGTAGACTGTCAAAACACACACACACACACACACACACACACACTTCCCTGAT